TTACACACAGAAATCACAATAGCGTGATGCATCATATGAACAAATCTTTGTGGATTTGTTCATATGATGCATCACGCTATTGTGATTTGTGTAATACTCAACATACTTGGGCAAAGAAGAGGCTCCTTATCAAGTAAATAGTATGGAACATACATGGGACAAGAGGCAGCTCATGAGTGACTATCAAGATGGTATCACCATGACTTGCCTCTGTGCAAATCAGTGTTATTCTTCACATGCATATCAAGTTGTAGAGTGACTGCAATCATTAAATCATTTTTTGAGTATTCTATGTTTCAAATGGATTCAAAACATATTTAATGACTAAAACCCTCATACAGTATTAAAATTCTTAATTAATACAAGCCCTTAATTAACTACAAAAACAATCTTGAAGTAGCAGCATTGCGTGCAGGTGAAAACCTATTACTGGTAATGATAACCAGTTCCCAGCTCATTATTTCATCACACTAGGTAAGCTATAGCTGAATGATGAGTAGACATTTATGATGTTAATTTCTCTTCACACAAGGGTATTGCAGTACATACATACAGTACTATACATAATATACAGTAGTACATACTATAGGTACATAGCTATAGGTACATACTATAGGTACATACAAGTACATACATAAGTACATACTATATACTGTATTCAAAAATTTAAATACAGTACAAACATAATTTGTATTTTAATTTTTCCCGAGGCTATGGGTCTCCCTTCTTCCAGCCACAGGTGGTACTCCCTTCCAATATAGTTTTATGAATGGCATAAAAAGATGTTTGGGTTGTGACCACACTGCTCCTTGTGATGTGTTGGCGACTTTAGGAGAAAAAACCTTGATAGTTATGGCAAATAACAATCAAGGTATAATGACAAATAATAATTGGGCATACAATCCAGATCATACAGCTGCATAACGCCCAGCCCTACCTGCCTAAAACTATGAAAGCAGCTGTGCTCTGCAAAGTTTGTCTGATTATACAATTTAGATCATTTTTAATTTTAACTTCTATCTCTAATCCAAGAGCAAAGGTGAAATCTTTATACAGACCTTAATTTCTTTGAAATGCTCTAAACTACATTAACTGTGAACATAAGTTATGTCCTGCCAACTTTCTCATGCTAACTGAAAAAATAATCACATCTTGGCACAATCTGTCATAATTAAAGTAAATGATTATCAAAAGGAGGCACCAAGCCGTGCCATAATAAAAGTTATCTGGATAATTAGTGTGTGAGGAAGTTATCCAGTATCAGCATGATCAAGAGGGAAAAGGTTTTCTTTATCAGATATCCTTGGGTGCAAAGAACGTAGTGTACTGAAGGGCACAGAGGCAGCAGTGTTTGTTTTGGTGGCTGCATGAAGTTTTATTGTAGAAAACTGAAAAAAAATCCAATAGTGTAATTAGTTATTCATATGTTGCCAAACCCTTTGAGAAGATGTTAAAATGAGAATGTGTAAAAATTACTGAAGAATAGACCTAAATAGCTATGGGAGTACTGTACTGTATGCAAGGAGTCTCTACTGCCTAGATTGGGTGTGTAGGGAAGGGACCACTGACTTGATACTAGTGAGCAGCAGACACCACCCCTATGTTACTAGTCCTGCACATTAGCCATTTATCTTTGTATTTGTTAATAATGAAATAGCTCATGTGTGTGCATAATAGAGTTTGTGTGAGAGGGTTGACTGCTTTGACTGGGGCATGGAGCAATCACCGACGCGGCGCCAGCACCGACATCACAACTTTGCATCAAGCTGCAAGCTAGAGATTCTCTTGCAATAACCTTTGCATTTCTTCTATTTCTTTCTTTACTGAAAAAAACTAGGATGGGTTTACTTAATACAATGTGTGTGTGTGTGTGTGTAGTCAAATGTATATACAGCACACTATGCACATAGTACTGTATGCAGTGCAAGGTATTGTACGCTTTATTTGTTGTATACCAGATGAGGTAACTGGCAGTGCCCCGGTCTGTGTCTGCATCTTTTCCTCCCACTCTCTTTCAGAACATGAAATATACATGCCCAACACACACAATGTAACCACATGTGATAAACAGCTGAAAATCTGTTGACAACAAAAACCCTTATTTTGTACTTTGTAGGAATACAGTAGGTTGTTGAAAAAGGAACCAATCATACTTAAGAGGGTTATGGTGGGGTCAACTATGAAACCCCCATGACAATCACAAATCACCAAGTGAAGTTTTTTTTTGTATGAAGCTAATGGCAAGCATCTGTCCTTCAACCTCTGACAGACACAGATTATCTTTTATATATACTAAATGGGATACCCAGCTATGCCTGCCTCTCAATCTCTTCCCTTTCTCATCTCTGACCCCTTATCCCCCTACCCTTCTCTCCTAATCTCGTACCTCTTCGACTTTTTCCTACCTCTCAAATATCGGAAAATTTATTGCAAACCACTGAAACTACTAAATAACTACAGAACACACAACCTTTATTTCAGACTTCAATATCAACACAAAGTTTCACTGCAGATTCTCAGATTTCTTAAAATGTGACACTAGGCTGACCCCAACTAGCCTATGGCACGCCCAACTCTCCCGTGTGTTGTCTACAGAAGTTGGGTGACGATAGCCCCAAGCATCTGGCTTCCAACCTTACACACAGTTGTTCTCTTTTAAAGATACACCTGCATGCCAAACTATCCAACCAATTGTATTATAATCAAAATACTGTAATGGGAAAATAGTGCATTAATACAAATATAATAAATCTTCTTAAATTCAATCCAATACCCAGTACTCCTGCATCAACTTACACTCTGGCATATACTGTGCTATTTTTTTTAATTTTCTGCTATTTAGGGAAAACTGAACATTATGGAAGAGATTTCTTGGAATGAAGATGTGGCTATACCACTGACAACTGTACACACACAAAAATTGAAGACAAACTATCCTGCAATAATATGCATCCCTGTAGTATCAATTATTAAAATTGTATATTGAACATGAGAACTTGAAAATGTTCAAGTGCAAAATTCTCTACAATAAATGCTTGCCCCATATATAGCGGTTTTCCCTCAAATATTCTTATTATATCGTACGAAAATGAAACGTCGAGTAATCAGATAATAGAATACTGTACCTCGGTAGATAGTAAGTGAAGGTAAAGTTCAGTTCAACATACAGATAAAGTATGCTGAACATACTTTACCTCTATGTTCAACATGCCCATTCATCCGAGTGGAGCACAAATTATGTGGGGGTACGAATAAATACCGTTTGAAAATGGATGGCTTATACTTTTATTCTCTTTCTCTCCATGTTGTAACTACTGAAACTATTATGTATGACAATTGCCAGTCTTACAAGCTTTCTTTAAAGACAATATCAAAAAGATTACCACCAGGTCTTATGACATTTGTATTTCTTTCTTGGATGGCAAGATGGGAAAGGAATGATACGTTTTGTGGAATATTTAGGTTAAAAAATACCCAATTTCAATAAAACAAAAAGATTTTATGATTATCTTATGAAATTTAAGTTAAAACAGGTAGTCAATATTTCTCTTGTGGCTGCAGCTGCTAGTCAAGCATCGATAGCAAATTGGAATAGAAAAATAATGATAGTGTGATGTTAAGTATGAAAACGATGTGATTATAGTGAAGCAGTACTAATAATGATTATGGGCTTAACAAAAGTGTAGCAATATAACAATGATGCTAAATTATGACTATGAAATGACACAAACATAACAATGTTGGGTTAACAATGCCGAGATGATTATTCTAATGACACTGATGATTAGTCTAATGACATTGATGATTAGTCTAATGACATTAATGATAATGAGCCATAAGCAGCTGCACATAAGCACAGCCTTCCAAATATTTATCTAGACACTCGGAGTGTGGTCGAATATCACACAAGTCAATTTTATACATGGGCTGGGTTGGGCAAGGTAGGTTATAAGATGACCCATCTTGTGAACAATGTGACTCGTCCACATCCTCAAAATGCTGGTGTCAAGTTGTATAAGGAAACCAGTTCTCGTGCAGACACTATTCGGTCATTTGTAATTTGATATAAAACAATTTAGAACCCTCTGGCAGTGCTGGGAAAATAAAACCCATTGGTAGTATTGTGGGTCTGGACTACAATATGCAGCAGCTGTCTTCTGGTTGACAGAACCAGAAGGCAGCAGCTGTCTTCTGGTTGACAGAACCAGAAGGCAGCAGCTGTCTTCTTGACAGAACCAGAAGGCAGCAGCTGGTTGACAGAACCAGAAGGCAGCAGCTGTCTTCTGGTTGACAGAACCAGAAGGCAGCAGCTGTCTTCTGGTTGACAGAACCAGAAGGCAGCAGCTGTCTTCTGGTTGACAGAACCAGAAGGCAGCAGCTGTCTTCTGGTTGACAGAACCAGAAGGCAGCAGCTGTCTTCTGGTTGACAGAACCAGACGGCAGCAGCTGTCTTCTGGTTCATGAAATCATGAACCAGAATCATGATTTCATGAAATCATGAATCATGAATGTGGCTCGCACTAACATCATGCTGCGTTAAAAACGGTGGTACAGAATGCAAAATATGGAGATAAAAATGACTGAAGAATGAGCAACATGAAAACTACTCTTAAAAACATTGCAACAATAAAAATTATATATGGTTCCCTAAAGTTGATGAAAGGATGGTATGAAATGACTGTCATATTATGAAAACTAACAAAAATGAGGAAGAATAAATTAAGAAATAGGGAGAAAGCAGAACAATATGTACAGTGAATATAGGTAAGAATACATTATCCTATAAAACAAAAATTATTAATATAGAATTGTATAGCATTACCAAAATAAAAACTTTTGAAAAGTTATACAGTGGTAAAACAAGTATCTTAAGCCATGAAAAATTTATAGCAGTAGTAACTAATTGCCTCAAGAGCTACTGGGCAGCAAAAGCTGCAAAATAATTTTATCGATTATTTCTCATAGCAGTTTTTTAACCTTGGTTACAGATAAAAACCAAATCGCCCAAAATTTTTAATTTACCCAAATTTTTGTCACACTTTATACCCTAGTATAGAGGTAAATAAAAATGCATATAAAAAAACAAACTTTTACAGTTAAAAATCTTTACTTTGAATACTATGCAAAAGGCAGCGATGCAAGACTGCATGAAACTTTTGAAGTATGTACCCAGACAATGCCTATCCAATTGCAATATACGGTGAACGCTGCTCTCAAAATTCGACAAGATTTTGAAAACCTATATGATTGTCATTTCAACACAAGAGGATCTAGGATCAAATTTACCAACACGTGAAATCCAAAGTTACATACTCACCACTACACTAAATGATGGCTAGTTCAAATCACAACTTGCAGTTATGGAATCTCTCAAATTTTTAAAGTATATCGATATGTGAATGCCACTTTATTTGCAGTTTTAAACAGTTACCATGCATATTTACAGTTCCCGAAAATGTTAGAATCCGTAATGCATGTCAGTCAACTTTTATCCCTCCTGTGTCGGTACAACTACCAGAGAGCAACATTTTACTTAGCACCAATTAAAAACTCATTTGATTGAGAGTATTTTGTAATTACTTTACAGGAATGGGTACTCTACCCAACACAATTAGTCAAAAATATGTACATAATATTAAACAAAACTGTCTCCTTCATCCATTCCCATTTACAATTAAGTAAAACCAATTGAATCTAAATCATACAATACATATACCTTGCTAGCATCACTCCTAACATTATAATTTTATAGCGTAAGTTATATGAACAAAAATGACAATTTATAGTGTTGACCTGGTTAGATTTTGTAGTAGTTTTGTACATGTACACAGCAGGTAACAGGTACGAAATATTACGGAGAGCCTACATCATCTTGAGAACACGTGGTTCCTAAGCCCTATCCTGTGTTTCCTAAATGCATCACTGTGATTCGTACCTAGACAATGCAAGCAGCTGTTGTTTTGGGGTCTGCCAGAACCACAAGATTTATGTAGTCTCAAAATAACTTGGGTAGTTCATTGTATCACCATATGACTAACTGTTCAATTTTGAATGAGGCTACAAATTCCAAGTCACTTGGACACGTCTCCACAACAGTCCATGCTGTACCTGCAAGCTACCATTATCCACTGCCTAACACACTACCAGATAATTAACATAACTTACAGGCGAAAATAACTATCGGCATTGTGATTTGGTCAAATTACAGTATATCTTGACAAAAAAAAAAAAAAAAAATAAAGTTAGGATAAAGTGAGACAGTAAAATCAAATTTTGTCTATCGGTACTCAGAATCCTCAGTGACTGCAAGACCAACTACCAACATAACTGCAAAAAGCTGCGCTAGCGTATGTGGTGTAGATCTTTACCGAGTGTAATCACCACCTACAGCCCACAGCTTTCTTCCAAGTCTAATCAAAATACAGCACTTGACAATTTAATCATTCCGTAACATTTTTTGATAAAAAAATTAAAACATGAGAAACACCATCATCGTAGAGCTAACATTACAATATTAGCATTATACAATCAGATCCATCAAACACTGGTATCTGTCCAAGCTTCATCATACATAAAAAAAAAAAAAGGTGAGAAAACAAATAACAAGAGAGGCATTAAACAGGACAATACCTTGGTGAATTTCTAGGGCAATGAAGAAATGTTCATTAGTCCTCCCTTAAAACCTACATTTTGGCTTAGTTTGCCTTTTATTTCAGCATCAGTCATAACAAGGACACTTCCACACTGTTCTAGTACTCTTGGTTACCAAGTTAACTCACACGAATAACATTTAACCGCTATTCACAACAGCCATTTCCACACAGTCTTGTGCTTCGTTAATGTAAAAATGATTTTTTTAATGCAGAATTCCATGCATTCGACACTTGGGTGAAACCATCACTAGCACTGGTTGGCACACCTGTTTCTAGAAAGCATCAAGCACTAGTTACATAGTTAATAAACACCAAAACAATCAACAAACCAGAATGCTGTCAAAAAATTTGGTGATATAACACAAAGATTTCAAAGTCTAGCTTCCATTTCCATCATAGATTATTCAACAAAAAGGAGAGTAGCTTAGTCTCGTAGTGTTCGTTGGAGTCCAGCTGACGTAAGCAGTGGCGCTCGTGGGGGTATATCTGTAGGGAAATTACAAATAACGCATTACATTTTGGGGGAAAGAAATGTGAATGAACTTAAGAAAAATAGTTGGCTGGTTTATCGTAAGTCATATGAAGCAAATCTAATCAACAAAGAAATGATGTGAACATTAATTATATAGGACAAAGAAAACATTACTACTACATAAAAGCACTTGTGCAAAATTTTGTATACAGTATCATAAATTTCTTATATGAGCAACACACTTACCTGAAGTTGGTATGGCTTTCCTGCCTTAATAAGGGCCTGAATTAATTGATTCGTATGTGAGAAGTGTACATTCTCATCGATCATTCCTTGAACAATTAGTAACCGGTTTTCCCTAAAATATGAATAAAGTCATTAATTTAATGCAAAAAAATGTACCAAAGTAGTTGCCAATAAAAAAAATTATTAATTATTATTATTTTCTATCACAGACATGACCATACAATTACAATGCTAATCAGTATGGGTCCAAGAGGGCACCAAATAAAAAAAAAACCCACCACAGAAATAGGCATTTTATTACATCACCGCCGTTTTTTTTTTATAGGGCCGAATGGTGGTTTCCTGTAGCTTGACAGAGAAGAAAAAAAATGGCACACACACTAGGGAAGGAGAGCAAAAATCAAATCTTCAAAGGGACAAGATCAGGAGGGAACACTACCCAGAGCAATTCAAGCTGAACAGTGGACCAGGAATCTGATCAATTAACAAGGCCCCAGGACTCCACCACACCTCCAAAATCCCTTGAAGCCTGGACAACAGGCCAAGAAAAAATAGAAAATACAGCAGCCAAAGCCGAGAATTTTCAAACATGGGTTCGAGGGCAAACCACAGGCTGGCTACATGGACCACCACCATGGACTGCTACAAACAGATACAACAAATGATTCATCCTGGCTGAACAAACCAAGAACCAAGAGTCAAAAGTACCCAGACAAGAAGAATGCCACAGATGAAGAAACTACTCACCAGGGCCAAACAAAACCCATGTTTCCAGAGGCGAGCAAGAAGCTTCCCAACTGCACAATTGGAAGCGAGGGTAAAAAAAAAAAAGGGGGGGGGGGGGGAATCATGGACCGAAGGGGCAAATGAGAACTGAGCAGATGAAATAGAAACCAGCACCTGATCCAAAGACCAAGATAACTCGAGAGGCGTAATGAGCAAGCCAGGGGGGTGAAAAAAAAAGCACAACTTATGAAACAGCACCAAGGGTAAATTGGTCTCGAGTCGACAAAAATTATCCCACCAATACCATACAATAACAGGCAACAGTGTCCGGCTTAAGATGCCAATCAACAGATGACCAGGAGAAACACTGAGATGACAAGAGCCTCAGGAAACCTCAAACTGCTGCTATGATGAAAAATGCCAATAAGAGACCAAGAGCTCAGCTACAGCACAGGTATTATATATATATATATATATATATATATATATATATATATATATATATATATATATATACAGTAACTGCATATGCATAATAAGCAATCATAAAATGATAGCAGTACTTTTTATGTGCAAAGGTCAATTCCATTACATCCATACAGAGCTATATAATATATATTAGCATCATAAGTATAAAACCCAGACAATAACAGCTTAAATCAATGTATGTTGATAACCGCATTACCCCGGGAATCAACGCATGACAACCATACCTTGAGGGTTAATAAATAAACAAAGTTATAATTTACAAACAAGGACACAGTAGAATTAGTAATGCTAGTCATAAATGTTTAATAGTAAATACTGCAGGAGTGGCAACTCTCTTGTGATGGATGGCGCGAGCCACTCACCTACAGGGTGAGTGGCTCACCCTGCGAGTGAGCACATCGCTAGTCAAGGAGTCCCTCTGAGAGCAATCATCCCTTGTACTCATGATACCTACTCCAGCTTTTGAGTTTTGGTCATTTGTACTTCCCTTTACAGAGCCTTTTTTGGACCAAGATCATCTGTGGTTCCCATTACATTCATCAAAAGATTGCTGATCCATGGGGACTTATGATAGTGCGACAGAACCACTAGAATTCATCTCCCACAGAGCATCGACAAGTCATTACCTGCTGCTGCTCTCTCTGCCATCACCCAAAATATTAGTGACCATTAGATACTACCTGGACTAGTCTTGTGTCTCACTACTCAAGATGCACTTCTGGGAATCATCAGCATCCTGTTCAGTTGAGGATATATCTAGTCTGTTTTAATTTGACATCAAATTATTTATGATTGGTTTTGACAGTGAACTGTGATCCTCGGTTAAGGTGTATGATAACAAAACCAGAGTAGATAAGCAGTGTTGTAGACATTTACTTTATAATCTTATAATTCTAAGGTGTCCTTCCATGTCAAATTACCGACACACCTATCAGTGGCTTAATGCCGCAAATAATTATTCAATTTTAGGCCTTGAAAGCAGCTCCCTACCTGCGACCAAGAGTACTGTACTTCAATTCTCACAATAGCAGATTTCATTTAATGTCTTTTTTCTTCACTTCAAGACTGCTTATAAGCTAAATGCTTACTATTTACACAATTCTAATAATTTAATCAATAATCTTAATTCTAGAGTTTTGCTAGATTTGTATACATTTTGAAAATTTATGAAATGCAGATAAGCTATGAGTGGACTAAACTTTTACTACAGAACTGTCCCCACAATTGCTTAAAAAAATATGAAGCTTAGCACAGCAAATATTAAACGGTTTTCCTTCAGAGAGAGATTAATGAAGGCAGCAATGCATCTACTTACTCATCGGGCAAGTTATTGACATAGGAGAGGACGGAACCATTACGATATCCCTCAGGGTTGACACTGGGCAGGTCCATGTAGCGCTCGGTGTAGCCGGTGTCGTACAAACTCCACGACACAACAGGAGCCCCAGCAATAGCCACTCTGTCAGATCATTCACAATATTAATTCAAATAAAAATACAACTGAAGAAAGAGGTTCACCGATTCCTCCAGCTCCTCACTGGTCCCCCCCCCCTCTCACTGCCTGTCCCACTTCCTCTGCCTTTACACTGCTTTTTCAGTTAAATCTTTTGATCTTTGTTCATGTTTAATTATTAACATCCACCCTTTTAGGTTTCTTCACATTTCATGATGCCTGTATGTTGTGATGGAAGTATCTGTAAATAAATTGATAGAAGGTTTATTGTGTGAGCTGTTGTTTAGGTGTGAGGCACATGTCACTTGCAGAGCAAAAAACATCTGAGCATCATATCAACACCCACAAACTTCTCGGTTCAGTTACGTGCCAAAATGTCACATCATGACCGGAATACTGTACTTCTAAGTGTTCTGCACCCAAGATGTAATGTTAAATATAGAAACAAAAAATACAGGTCTTTATAGGTTCTTTCTGTAACAAATGAACAAGATGAGATATCTAGCATGTTAGTGAAATGTTTTGCAATAGCTGACTGGCATTAGCCAGTCAGCTAATGCAAAACTTTTTTGTTGTTGTTGTTGTTGTGTTGATTTAGGGGCGATGACGATCATGGGATCGGATGCGCCCCGGCTGCCCGATACCGGGAAATAGCGAAGGGATGGGGTCCCTATAGTCTCTTCAGGCCATAGACCCTACAATCTCCTCAGGCGACAAATTTTACAGTCTCTTCAGGGCGCGGACATGACGGATGAAGCGGAAGGTATGGCGAAGGATGTCATGACGGACGTCTTCGTCTCTCGCACCTGCCCCGTCAAGGAGAACGGGAACTGTGAGGCGGGGAATATTCAGCCTACGAACGGAACTCTGTAGTCTGACGCAAGCGCTATGAAATCGAGGGCAGTGAAGTAGAAGGTGCTCCACTGTATCCTCCTGGGTCGGACACCACTGGCAATATGGGGAATCTACCAGCCGTAGACGATGGAGATGTGCGGCCAGGCAAGTGTGCCCAATCCGGAGACGAGTGATGGCAGTGTCGAGGAGTCGAGAATGATGACGAGTCCATGGACGCGGGGAGGAATCCTCCCGTAGACCCGCCAAAGAGGAGGACCTGAGTGCTGGCTCCATCATTGCCTCCCAACTCACGAGGCAAGCCGCCCGGAGTTGCGGGAGAATTTCGGAAAGGTCTAGAGGCACATTTGTAGAGTCATGGAGAGCATGCGCCATCCCTGCTGCTGCGTCGGCTACCTCATTGCCTTTAATACCGACATGTGACGGAACCCATTGGAGATAGATGGACCAACCTGGAGTAACAGAGTATGACAGCAGTTCTCCACGGATCTGTGACACAGTATGACGATGGACTCGTGGACGCCGAGATGATATCAGATGTAGGGCTGTGATTGAGTCCACGTAGAAAACCACTGCAGAGGGCCCTGAAACTTGTCGAAGGAGTCGTAAGGCTAGTAAGATTGCAAACAATTCCCCGGCCAGGCACGAATGAGCAGGGGAGAGTTTCCACGTCTGACAGAAAGAAAAAGGAGCAAAGTATGCTGCCGCAGATGTAGATGGTGGCTGATCTTTGCGGGACCCATCCGTGTAAACCTCTAATCCAGAGTATAAGGAGGCTCGCAGGTCTGCAAAAATTAAAGGGGCCAAACCCTCTAAATCTCTCTTCCGACGAGGAGGCTTGGAAAAGTCGACAGAAACTCGAATGATCTCTTCTGCCCACGGAGGCACCGGTGAGATGATCGGGCCGGGGGTGAGTATAGGGACAGGAAGGGAAAACTGTGAATATGCATCCAAGGCCCGGACGACGAAAGGCAATTGACGGCGTCTGGAGTGTCCAGCCGGCACATACCACCAGTTAGCCTCGAGCTGGAGGCGAGTAAGTGGATGGGTAGCAGGGAGACGCACTATCCGTTGAAGTTGGCGGCAGTGGGCGAGAAGACGTTGAAAGCTCAGGGGCCATAGCCCCGACTCGGCATGAAGAGAAAGAACTGGCGAGGAGGGCATAGCTCCTAACGCTGAGCGAAGGGCACCATTTTGAATGGGATCCAGCCTTGCCAAGACAGATGCTGCTGCTGAGCCATAGACTTCACTCGCATACATGATCTTGCTACGAATGAAGGCCTTGTAGAGAGCTAGGAGCGACTCCCGTGAAGCCCCCCAAGCCGCACCAGAGACCCGTTTCATGATGTTCACGCGACGAAGGCATGAGGCCCGAAGGTAGTCGACATGGTGCCTCCACGTCAGCCGAGGGCTATCTAGAACGACCCCCAGCCACCTGTGTTCGGTAGCGATCGGGAGACGACAGCCCCCGAGGGTCACCACTGGCTGGTCTGGTAAGCGGGTCCAGGTGAAGCTCATGACGCAACTTTTCACAGGGTTAATGGAGAGCCCCTTCCCCAGCACAATTGCTGAGAACACAGTCACGGCATTTTGCAGGGAGCCTTGTGCCTCTAGGAGAGTGTCACCATCCGCCACGAGGGTTACATCATCGGCATAGGCTAAAACCTGGACCCCCCGGAATACAGGGAGATCAGACAGAAGAATAGAGAATAGTAGTGGGCTCAGAATCGCTCCCTGAGGGACACCACGCGAGACAGGGCGGGACGTAGAGACGACTCCACCAACTGCCACTTTGAATGAGCGGCCCTGTAGATAGTTTTGGAACCACATTAACGCTGGACCCGAGAGACCTAGTCGAGCCAGACTCTGAAGGACAGCAGAATGAGAAGCAGAGTCAAATGCACTCTTGATATCGAAGAATGCTGCAAGGAGCACTCTTCTCCGTCGATAAGTGTCCATTATTCGATGTTCCAAGGAGAGCTTTTTTGTAAACTTTTTTGTAAACAGTAAACAACTATTTTTGTTTACTTTCTCATGATCAATCTACACCAGTAGATTGATCATTGAGAGGTGGGACCAAAGAGCCAGAGCTCAACCCCTGCAAGCACAACTAGGCAAGTACAATACCAGCATTAACCCTTGAACTACGCACTGCAACCAGGCTTTTTTTAGGTATAGCGTAAGATTTAAAACTCCCACAGGTGGTTGGGGCTCACATCATATTCTTCAGGGCTCCAACAAACAGATGACATCTTGGAAAAAAAAAATCGTCTGCATCTTTCGTGGCTGGGAGATTGGCTGGGAGAGCCTCAGTAATGAGAGATTGACTAAGGCTGGCACATGAGCACAAGCTCACAGCAATGCTGTGCAGCTAGGGAGCCAAAGCACCATGTAATAATGATAAAAAAACATAACTAAAGGCTATTATTTTGCTTTGATATCAGTGTCACGAATGATCTTAACTGTGAGGGAGATGTACAACATTCAGAGATCAGTGAACACAATGCTAGTTATGATGTCCACAGAGTGAGGTAGACAACCACAGCTCTAAGCCATTCTTTCATGCACGTACACAACATGAGACGACCTCATGCTCCTTTAAAATATATCCTTGTGGAAATGGATTCATATTTAGAATTTAGTGACAGGAATGTGATATTGGAGGAATTTTCTTCAGGCAACGTTTGCAGAGGTGTCATCTGCTCGTACCGTGTGCTCCGTGTTATGTTTTGATATTGTCACCACACCCACCAGAACTGCTTATTGGTCCTTTACGAGGCATTAAAGTGTTGACAGATATATATGATGTGTGTATGTTGTAAAATAGCAAAATTTTTATTTTTTTATTGTTCAAGCAATATAATTCTAGTACTCGTATTGCTACGTGACACTAATACTATACATCTGTTAGTACCAATATTTTACACATTATGTGATACAAACGATATTTGTACTAACAGTTCAATTGATTGAATTGATAGCTCAATTGACAAACTGATAGCTCAATCAAGTGAAAGATTACCAACAGCTCAATGCATTATTATACTTACAAAAAAAAAAAAAAAAAAAGGTAAAAACATTTACAATGTTAAGAAAATACAATACGTTCAATACGCTCTTACAATTTCACATAACTAATGAAGGACTTGCTGAACTCTGATAACCAGTTATAAGGTTAATACACTCACCAGTAATGCTTAATGATTCATAAAGGTGTATAAAAATGTAGTTATATATAACGTGTGTACTGTATACTGTAATCACAGCAAACACACACTTTTATTGACCTAACACACTGCTATATATGTGACTAATATGCACACCATATTTTCCAGCACATTGATGTTCCACATATTTCATTATATAAATTTCTCAAATTATACACTTTTGAATTAGAGAAAACAACTGGAAAAAAATTGATTCATTTGAATAATTATGAAAAACTATATTTGCGACAACTTCCCCCCCTCCCCCCACAGGGTCAGTGAGGCTGGTGTGTGTGTGAGCGACAACTGTCACCCCCACGGGACCAGTGAGGCTGGTGTGTGTGTCAGCGACAACTGTCACCCCCACGTGGCCAGTGAGGCTGGTGTGTGTCAGCGACAACTGTCACCCCCACGTGACCAGTGAGGCTGGTGTGTGTGTCAGCGACAACTGTCACCCCCACGTGACCAGTGAGGCTGGTGTGTGTGTCAGCGACAACTGTCACCCCCACGTGACCAGTGAGGCTGGTGTGTGTGTCAGCGACAACTGTCACCCCCACGTGACCAGTGAGGCTGGTGTGTGTGTGAGCGACAACTGTCACCCCCACGGGACCAGTGAGGCTGGTGTGTGTGTCAGCGACAACTGTCACCCCCACGGGGCCAGTGAGGCTGGTGTGTGTGTCAGCGACAACTGTCACCCCCACGGGGCCAGTGAGGCTGGTGTGTGTGTGAGCGACAACTGTCACCCCCACGTGACCAGTGAGGCTGGTGTGTGAGAGCGACAACTGTCACCCCCACGGGGCCAGTGAGGCTGATGTGTGTGAGCGACAACTGTCACCCCCACGGGGCCAGTGAGGCTGGTGTGTGTGTGTGAGCGACAACTGTCACCCCCCTCGGGGCCAGTGAGGCTGGTGTGTGTGTGAGCGACAACTGTCACCCCCACAGGGCCAGTGAGGCTGGTGTGTGTGTGAGCGACAACTGTCACCCCCACGGGGCCAGTGAGGCTGGTGTGTGTGTGTGAGCGACAACTGCCACCCCCACGTGACCAGTGAGGCTGGTGTGTGTGTGAGCGACAACTGTCACCCCCACGTGACCAGTGAGGCTGGTGTGTGTGTGAGCGACAACTGCCACCCCCACGTGACCAGTGAGGCTGGTGTGTGTGTGAGCGACAACTGTCACCCCCACGGGGCCAGTGAGGCTGGTGTGTGTGTGAGCGACAACTGTCACCCCCACGGGGCCAGTGAGGCTGGTGTGTGTGTGAGCGACAACTGTCACCCCCACGGGACCAGTGAGGCTGGTGTGTGTGTGAGCGACAACTGTCACCCCCACGTGACCAGTGAGGCTGGTGTGTGTGTGAGCGACAACTGTCACCCCCACGTGACCAGTGAGGCTGGTGTGTGTGTGAGCGACAACTGTCACCCCCACGGGGCCAGTGAGGCTGGTGTGTGAGAGCGACAACTGCCACCCCCACGGGGCCAGTGAGGCTGGTGTGTGAGAGCGACAACTCACTCAAAGCTTACAAATCCCTCAACTTCTCTGCTCAATCATGACTGATGTATGTCACATACAATATGTTTGTTTACTTTCTCGTGATCAGAAAACACATTTTTATTACATCAGAAAGGAAAAAAATTTTGGGGAAAAATTATACTTACAAAAAAAAAAAAAAAAGAAGGTAAAAACATTTACAATGTTAAGAAAATACAATACGTTCAAAAAATGTTTTTCTTGAGCTTCATAGGAGAGGGATGTGAAGGCTGCTCAATACTGGGGTTAAATGAGGTATGCATGTACTACTGTACTGTGTATGTAATTCTGCATGCAAATAAATGGTGTTCTTTAAATTAAACTATCATCTCTGATTTGATTCAGAAGTAACTTTCACAAATAAAATAGACAGATATTGCAAAAATGCACTTTAAAATGGAATTTATAGAGTTAATAAATGGACAAAACTGGAGAGCAATCCACAAGGAACTCACTTAAATACATCAGGTCTCTGCGCCAGAGCCATCAGAGAGAGATAGCCACCATAAGACCAGCCAGTAACGGCCAGGCGTGAAAGGTCCATATAATCACACTGACCAGCCAGTAACTGCAACACTTCTACTTGGTCGTCTATTTCTACAGTGCCCTGTAACAAATTGGCTCATTGCATTTGTGGAACGCTATAGTTTTGTTCAAGCACAATTATTTCAATTTTTACAAAAGTGTTAGCAAAATACATACAGTAAATGATAAACAGGATTCAACAATGAAGCCGATGTGTAATCTATTCCAAGTAAAATGATTATTTGGTTTAGAATTAACACAGTATGGGCAAATACATAAGACAAGGTGACAGAGCCATGCAAATTGAGCAACAGTTTTCCAGTAAACAAGGCTATAACTAAAGATACACTATTGTCACATAATTGCATTCAAATATTGTAGGAGAGAGAACCCCAGAGACAATGCAATTTGTTTCACTACAAAAACACTTGTCTGCCACAATAACCATTTCCAACACACTCCTTGAGAAGAAACTAAGTAGTTCAGTAGAATTTAGCATAAAAATTTGGTACACAAATGCAGATGGAATTACGACAAATGGAGTAGAGCTGCAAGAACGGGTGGCAGAACTGCACCCTCTCATCGCAGTTACGAAGACGAAACTGACAAAAGTAATAATGGAGGTGATACTTCCAAGAGGATACCAGATAATATGTCTTAACTAGGATGGGGGGAGGAAGCAGTGGGGGTAACCAAGCATCAGGGCTTAATACTTGGGATGATAACAGTGAGGAGCATGAAGATAATGATAGGTGTTATTTACAACCCTTTATTAACTGCAGGAAGGTCAAGGGAGGAATATGATAAATGCAACGAAACTTGCCTGAAGAAAAAGTGGCCATAGTGGCAAGGAGAGCAAAAGCAATGATCCTAATACATTGGGATTTCAACCACAGGGATACAGATCGACAGCCGACAACTTCAACCACAAGAAATTAACTCGTCAACAGAGGATCCTCATGGAGGAGATGAAACATGGAGGGAAAGATTTATGAGAAGAAAAAAAAGGGAGAAAAAAAAGAGAAGACAAACAAATTTGGAAAAAAGCATAAGGAGGCATTTAAGGCAACCAGAAACCAGTACACCAAAATCAGGTGTACTTAAATCAATAGAGCAGCAGTTTAAAAATTATTTTGCAGCAAAAGCAAGGAGGGAACCTAAACTTTTGCACTGCTATACAGTATATGGAGGAAAACAATGGTACAAGACGATGTGATCAGACTGCAGGGAAAGGCAGGAATACTTTGAGAATAAATTGTGTGAAGAACTCAAGAGGTTCCAGGTCTACAAACTAGAACCAGACTGGTGTTTAAGTAGGGGGTGACGACACATGACCACAGACAGAACTAGACAGAATTGAAGTTAATGTAGAACCAGTAAACAGACCTCTGGAGGAACTGGATATAACAAAATACCAGATATCACCTTGTTACAAAATGAAGCTGCAGGGATCGAGAGTTACCCATTAACAATAGTGTTCGCCATTACACATGAAACAAGAGAGGTTTTTCGAGAAATCTGGAGACAAAAAAAAAAAAATGTAGTCCCAATATTCAAGAAAGTGGAGGGACACGAAGCACTAAACTACAGACAAGTATCATTAACATGCATTCCATGTAAAATACTTGAAAGTGCAGGAAGAGGAGTGTAGAAGCACAACATGGCTCCAAAGGGAAAAATTATGCTTAAATTTGATCGACTTTTATGACAGGATCACTAAAATGACGTTTTAGTGTTTTAATGTTTCCCATCCAAAAGGAGGCTGGGAAAACAATCTTTCAAGACTGCCAGAAAGTTTTTGATACACCATAATACCATTTATGTAAAAATCTGCTCTGCATGATGCAAAGCAGCACCAGATTGCAACCAATAAATTTATGCACTTTTATCTTTTTACTTGGTAACAGTGAAAAGATAAAAGATAAATCTTTTCACTATCTCCAACCTCACAAAGCTCGCCATCACGACGACGGAGACAAAAATTAACCAGGAAGCAAGTGGTCGAACATTCATACGTTACCTGATTAGTATACAAGATAGACACATACCATTCTGTTCATGAGGTGTGCTTGAAAACCAACGCCTCTGTTATCAGAGCCGCGGGAGTCAATGCTAACCACGCAGAAGCCATGAGCAGCGAGCATGTGAGTTCGCATGTGTCTAAAACCCTGTAGACAAAATAATACATGTAAAACAATAAAACTAAAACACTATACACAAAGTAATTATCCAATGGATTAGATAATAAATGTGAAGCTATGGTGTAAATAAAAAAAATAATTTACTTTTCATAGTACATAATAAAACATTTTTAAATATTTATTTATAATTAAATTGTGTAGTCACATAATTGTGTGCAGAAAATTACACTTCCATTTAGAGGAGAGAGGATTAATCTGTCTCAACTTGCACTGTAAGCATACAGTGGACAACACGCCCTGAAACCTCTACCCACATACCGGCTTCACAGCCTGATTCTTGTGCATATCTATGCCAAGAATCGAACTTTGAGCTTGTGATCAACATTCCCAGAGTAATATAACATGGCAGAACTACTTGTTTATGAAGTAAGTAAGTAATTATCAAAAGAAGGCACCAAACCGGGAAGGCATGTAGCACCATCAAATGTGCGGAATAATCAGAGGGCGCTAAATATCACCAAGGATGCCAATACGAGAACAAAAACGCATAAGGCGAATGATATAAAAAGTATCCGAGTCACCAACAATTCTATCGAGGGACAGGTGACCGCGTTGTTTATGAAGTAACTAAGACAATTACCGATAAAACTTACAATAGCAAGGGTCATCAAGAAGCTACATCAGCAGTGTTCAAATTCCACTACGGCACAATGCTCATACATCAAAGCTTTATTCTGATAACCGTCACGTCTTTGCTCTTGAAATATACTTCTCTACTTTAATTCGGCTTTATGTCTGTCAGCTGCAACACAAACGTGTACAGTATTACAGTTTTCACCATAGTGAATATGCAAAAACAAACTTTCACTTGTGTATGTATTAATTCTCCTTCAAATTGGCTTTTCTTCCTAATTTTGTTTATATAACTTTTGCCAATACAGCATTTTCTTACAGCTCTATGGTTAACTACACATTATTTTAAATATAGATCATCCTGCAAATTGCAAGCTAAATGTTACTCAATTTATGACAAAATATAAGTAAGATTTAGAATGCTGTACACTTGTTTGCTCCATCCATTACTGTAATATTTGTCTACGTTGTTACGAATAATATGTCTAAATTTAAAGTTCTAAAAATTTTAATTTTTTCTTTTGACACTAATGATTTTTTTGCAAAATTATACAGTACTGTCTATTTAATTTAGTAATTCATTGTACTTTCATTTTCCTTATTTTCCTTCTGAGATCTGACATTTTATATATATTGGATTGGGAGCATGCAGAACACTTGAGACAAAACACATGGGGATACAAGCTAGTAAACATTTTTTGTCAATTAACTATACTAACCTTAAATGTGTTTGTGACGAGCTGAACCTGCGGTCCACCATATATACATAGAACAGTAGGATATTTTCTTCCCGGTGAGAAGTTATGTGGCTTAAACACCATGGAGTATATTGAATCCCCGCTGTTTATTCTTGTTGTGAAGACTTCGGGTACAACGAGAGACTTTATTTCTCTCAACCCTTCCGACACTGGAATAAAAAGGCTCATTTCAAAGCTGGATATACTCGCATCACAAGAAATTAGGTAACAAGATTTGATCACATTAGCCTTTACACTGCTCCACTAACCATGTGTGATTGATCCTATGGGATATCCCATACTATTTCTTCCTTGGACAAAATAGGACTTAAATAGCAGTTCACAGGTTAATGACAAATGAATTTTGCCGATGTGGGGTTGTGTACTAGGAATGTTTGGCAAAGGACGCCAAGCAAGTGTGCAACACACTGAAATGTGTTAGAACAGTATTTAATGTTGGGGGATGAGGAAGTGACAAAAACTGATGATAGAGAATAATTGTTCATCCCTCAAAGTGGAGGGAAGACGGCCAAGCAAACAAGATTATGATGTAAAAAAAATTAAAAAATATGGTATCTGAAAATATTGATCAAGCAGATGTGTATAAAACAGAAGCAGGAGAGAAAAAATTACAACACATTTAAAGCAGAAAACTTTTGTAGCAAGAATTAAAGATGGATGATGAAATTTAGCTAGGCCTAAATGTCAAATGCTAAGGCACTGAAATAATTTATGACAAGTAAGGAAGTGCAGCAAGACTAGAATAAATACCAATGGGACTACAGGTACAGTATTACAAATATGCAAAAATCTGCAAACTAATGAAATACAAAATTAGAAGTAGGAGCCAAAAGTACTAGGAAAGTCTAATGGGTGGGATTGGTGGCGTAAGTGTAAACTTCAACATGATTAATTCTGCTGCCAAGAAAAATGTGTGATAAAATAATGAAAGGTAAATATGGGCTGTACATGTTACAGTCAAGTTCATCAATGCTGAAGCCGAAATGTGAGAGAACTGCAGGAATGGACGAGGTAACATGCATGCATGAACAACACAGCCCACAAGAGTAACAGACAATGAGTGTAGAATTTGACAGACAATATGGGGAAGTTGTACTGTGCCAGATAATAGAAAGAGTGATTGCATAAAGAAATAAGCCACAATTAAGAATTATAGAGGCATTAGTGTACTATGTTGTGGTATAAAGATTAATAGTATAGGCAGTACAAGCCCTCAATACAGAACAAATAACTAAAATTAGTAAAAAGTAGATTCTGTGGAGCAGGTATTTGCATTGAGATATCTACAGATGGTTTGAGAAAGATTACAGACAATTAATAGTGACTGCCAACAAATGAGCATTTGTGGATTTAGTAGAATACTCTTAACATTGTGAAACTTATCTTTTGGAAGTCGAATATGTGCACATGAGAATAAAGTAAGACGTGTGCATGTCCTGAAAGTCGGAACATTCAACAAGGATATGCACGACTAAGAGGGAAATGTAGTCCAGACAATAAGAAGCAGGGCAACGCTCCTTTAAGTGCCCGTGAGTTAAACATGTATGGCCAATACGTAATCTTGCCAGAGCCGGTCGCCGAGCAGACAGTACGCTGGACTTGTGATCCTGTGGTCCTGGGTTCGATCCCAGGCGGCGGCGAGAAACAATGGGCAGAGTTTCTTTCACCCTATGCCCCTGTTACCTAGCAGTAAAATAGGTACCTGGGTGTTAGTCAGCTGTCACGGGCTGCTTCCTGGGGGTGGAGGCCTGGTTGAGGACCGAGCTGCGGGGACACTAAAAAGCCCCGAAATCATCTCAAGATAACCTCAAGATCTCTCAAGATAGCCGTTACCCCACCGCCGGTTATGGTGGTAAGTAATTATCCAAAGACGATGCCAAGGCAAGGAGACTATGTAGCACCCTCAAAGTTGCACGATGTTCAAAAGGTGCTATATATCACCAAGGATGCCAATACGAGAACAAAGTGCATAAGGCGAGTGATATCAAAGGCATCTGATTCAAGGATTCTATCGGGAGACAAATGACCGCGAGGGACAGTTGGAAAGCAAGACACGCACGTCCTGGAAGTCAGGACATTCAACATGGATATGGGCAACCGTAAGAGGGACAATGTAGTTCAAACATTAAGGAGCAGGGCAGCGCTCCCCATTAAGTGCCCATGAGTTAAACACGTATGAGCAATGCGTAATCTCGCCAGAGTCGTTTCCCAGTCGTTGGTTTTGGTGGTAGGAGGAAAGCCAAGGGGACAGGCTACTCTTAGGAGCACGCAGTTTATTATCAGTAACAGATGACCAATGACCCTGCCAATGGTCACAGATCGAGGAATGAATGACTGGGTAGAAATTGAAATAAGGAACACCTTTTTGGGAAACAGGACAAGTGTGGATAGCCTCCTTAGCAACAGTGTCCGCATGCTCATCTAAGGAAATACCAATATGGCTGGGAACTCAACCAGGTTAAATCTGCTGGAGATAAAGTGAGAATGATGTAACGAGTCACTGGGTTGATGTTTGTGTACTGTATAATAACACACACCAGGGTTGTGTAATATTTTCCATGGATGTTCAGTATATCTGAAGTGGGTTCTGGGACTTTCACTATTCCATGCCCAGCCCGGGGCTAGGCTTGATTTGTGACAAGAGTCCAACAGGCTGTTACTTGGAGCAGCTCACAGGCGCTATATCCACTACAATATTGAGATAGTCTATGAGGTCTGATTGTGAGTAGTGCAAGGACTGTGCCCTGGGGTACAGCGTTACTGTGCCCTGGGGTACAGAGTTACTGTGCCCTGGGGTACAGAGTTACTGTGCCCTGGGGTACAGCGTTACTGTGCCCTGGGGTACAGAGTTACTGTGCCCTGGGGTACAGAGTTACTGTGCCCTGGGGTACAGAGTTACTGTGCCCTGGGGTACAGAGTTACTGTGCCCTGGGGTACAGCGTTACTGTGCCCTGGGGTACAGCGTTACTGTGCCCTGGGGTACAGAGTTACTGTGCCCTGGGGTACAGAGTTACTGTGCCCTGGGGTACAGAGTTACTGTGCCCTGGGGTACAGAGTTACTGTGCCCTGGGGTACAGAGTTACTGTGCCCCGGGGTACAGAGTTACTGTGCCCCGGGGTACAGAGCTACTGTGCCCCGGGGTACAGAGCTACTGTGCCCTGGGGTACAGAGCTACTGTGCCCTGGGGTACAGAGCTACTGTGCCCTGGGGTACAGAGCTACTGTGCCCTGGGGTACAGAGCTACTGTGCTCTGGGGTACAGAGCTACTGTGCTCTGGGGTACAGAGCTACTGTGCTCTGGGGTACAGAGTTACTGTGCTCTGGGGTACAGAGTTACTGTGCTCTGGGGTACAGAGTTACTGTGCTCTGGGGTACAGAGTTACTGTGCTCTGGGGTACAGAGTTACTGTGCTCTGGGGTACAGAGTTACTGTGCTCTGGGGTACAGAGTTACTGTGCTCTGGGGTACAGAGTTACTGTGCTCTGGGGTACAGAGTTACTGTGCTGCTGTCACTGTTTGACAGGAAATTTAATATCTATTGCATTTCTAATGCTTCTGATTCTGTCAAAAGTGTTTCAATATATGTGAAATACAGGATCTTCCTGCTTTAAATATAGGCTGACCTGGGTTGTGACGTTCATTGTTCTCCATAAAACTGAAGATTCAACTCTCAATCACTCTTCCAAAAACCTTAATTAGGTGTGAAGTTCGAGTGCCCAACTGCCCCAAGTGGACCCGATCATGTCAGGTTAAACTAGAAAGGCCATGTGCTCTCGACCCTCGTGTTATGTCATAGTGCCGCTCCATTAGTGAAAGTTTCTTTAATAATTTTTTTGTTTTCATTGTCATTTTAAAAACTTTTTGCCAAAACTGTGTCTGGTAACAACCGTAATCATTCTGGAGATGTGAAGAAGAAGATTGTGCTAACCATTAAAGATAAATTATGTGTTATAGAACTCTGTCAAAATGGTCAGTTGGCTGTGAGGGTTGCCAAGAAATTTGGTACTGTATAGGCGCTACTAATGTTATGTACTGTACAGTAATTTTAGTGTCAAGTTAGATTATGTAAATTTTCAAGAATTACTGATTTCAAGATACTGTACAGTACTGTATACAGCATCAATCAAAAGACAAACTACAACAAGGTAACATGATTTTTTTTTCATATTGCAACACTGTAATGGGATATTTTTTAATTATAGTGTGTGTGGAAATTCAAATTGCTGTATGCTGGTTGTGGTACAAAAAATTGTGAATGTATTCACTTTTGGACTTCCCTGGTATATGTTCTGTTTATCCACATGTCTGGCTTATCCAGCTGGGGGTCCATCCCACAATTTGGCTAAGTGCACTTAGACAGTAGGACAAGGACAGATAACCATCTCAGCGGCAGTGTCCGCACATTTATTAAGGCAACACCAATTTGGCTGGGAACTCAGCAAAACTCGACTGGCTTAATTAAATCTGCTAGAGATAAGGAACAGCCAATGTAGAATTTCAACCACCAAAGGATGCATAGGATTAAATGACTCCAGAGCCAAGAGTGCACTGCAAGAGTCAACCACATTGACAGATTAACGTTAATACTGAGGAAGCAGTTGAAGTGCATACAAGATTGCATGAAGCTCCACCGTGATGATGCTAGTCTCCGAGGGCAGGCGGCACATTTAAGTTTGGTTGGGAAAGACTATGGAGCAGCCTACACCATCGGCAGACTTGGACCCACCTGTGAAGAGGGCAATGGAACGGGAGTGTAAAGAAAAGTAGTCAAGGAAAAGGCTTTTTAGAGCCATCGGAAGGATAGAAGGCTTTACCATATGCATCAAAGTCTTGCAAAACTTAGCAAGTAGGACCCTCCCATGGAGGCAAGGATGGAACAACATGAAGAGAAACATTGGTTACACAAACTGAGAGGGAATCTTGCAAGTGAGACAATTGTACAGAAAAAGGTAGATGGTGAAAGGGAACAAGGCCCACACGAGGGGTAATATTCAAAGCACGGCATAAGAAAGAGGGAAGATGTTGCAGGGATCTAACAAGGTAGTGAAGGCAGTAACGATTATGACTATCCTGTAAAGACAGGACGTTGGTTTCAACATCCTGACTCAGGATAGAGGACGAACGAAAGGTGCCAGAGCTGAAGCATAATCCAGTATGGTGCAGAGCATCAAGATGACGAAAAAGTCGAAGGAGAGGCAGAGGAGCAGCCAAGACAGCCATAATCGAATTTAGACAGCACGAGAGAAGAGTGCAAATAGAGGAGCGTGCATCTATCAGTTCCCAAGGAAGTATAGGACAAGACTAAGTAAGGTAAGGGCCTTAGAGCATTTAACTCAAAGGTAAGAGATATGGGGTGACCTCGACAAATGTCAAAGATTAACCCAAAAAGCTTAGCAGAATCTTTATACAGAAGGGAACTACAGTACCATAGAGCAACAAAGGGGGAAGGACGAAGAATGACCTGCTTCTGAGTAAAAGTAATAGCACAGTTCTTAGTTGAAGACAATTTGAAACCGTGATTGGTGGCTCAGGACAACATGGCAGAAAAAACACTCCAGCTTCAAGTATAGATATGACAGAATCCATAGGCTTGGGAACCTGCAAACCAATCGATTGAATCTCGAGAGACAGAACCAAAAAGTCAAAAGGTCAAACCACTCTAGCACTACTAAGTACAGTACAGTGCAGGTGCAACTTGTTGACACAAAGATCACAACTTGTGCCCTGGTAAACTATCAAACTACAGTCCCAAACTACCACTAGATCACTACCACTGACCACCACCAAATGACATCACCTCACTCCAATATTGTCTTCCCACAACCAATTTTGACTTCCTTCTGCAGCCATAGGCAAAAGGAAACAAAAACATACTGTGCCGAGTACAGGGAAGAGAAGGACGGGTCAGAGTGGGAGCGACCGAGTGTTTTGTTAAAAAGTGCTTCAAAAACTCAAAACTATATTTCTGAGCTATCCAACTCCATCACTCCCTAAGTCAAGGCAGAAGCTATCCATACTGTGGGAAGGATAAAAGCTCACCTGGGTTGGAGAGTGATGTAAGGAGCTGCAGGAGGAGGAACAGCAGCCGTCTCATCCCCTGGCACCCAACACTGCCTGAGGAGAAGACAGCCATCAGGAGGAGAGCCTGCTAAAGGCAACACTCTGATAGTGTCGGCAGAGAACCCCAGGAAGGCACCGCGAGTTAAACGTTCAGATGAACCTCGAAACCCACCAACAGGAGATGCACAAAACTGAATGAAAGACAAAAATGTCAGAACTCTATCCACCAACCAAATTGGTTCAGGAGGAACACGAGTCAACCAGGTGTGGAAAACTGCTTTAGAGCTTAAGGGTGAAGAAGATACATCTACCTCAAATGCAAGCAGGCAATAGGTGACAGTACATGTACTGTATTGAGCATCAGACAACCACAGCCATTGAAACAGCACAAGTGACAAAAGGGAAAGAAAACATGGCAGAAACTTCAAGCCATCGCAAACTGCCCCCTCGAGGAGATACTAGACTCCCAAACAAGCATCAGAACAAAAGGCTTGAAAACTCATACTGTTTGAGTATCTGAATTCCACTTAACAAGATACAGTATTTGTATTCTCTGGCCAAAATTGCATCCAGATAATTCTGCCAAACTTAATCTGGACAGAAATCCAGATAACCAGAGATTAGTTTCTGAAAATTTTCAAGAACTCCACATTTCAAGATGTACAGTATCAAATAAGAAGACACTGCAACAAGGTAAGCTCAAGTTTCACTTTTAAATTATACTTTTGATTTAGTGTGTGGAAATTCAAATGATGTTGGCTGTGGTACAAAAAATTGCAAATATGGTAATTTTTGGACTTGTCTCTAAGAATTCTGCTTATCTGGATGTCTGGCTTATCCGGTGAAGGATCCTTCCCATATAATCCAGATAAGCAATCTTAGAATGTAACTTGATGGAGTCATGAGCAATCCAGACCAGGATCTTGTGTATAGACCTCTATACACAAGAGGCAGAGCCTCAAAGGGGGCAATGGGAGAAGCAAGATTGAAAGGACAGGAACCAGAAATGAACCAGCCATATGAGAGCACGAAGAACGATACAGCAAACAAAGATCTCCAACCTGGACAACATGGGGAAGAAGCGGCTGGTCTGGAGGGATGAGGTAAAGGAATCCCTTTGATTTTAATCCTGACAAAACAATTTTGCTGCATAAGCTTTGTAATTGGGAAATTAAGCAACAGATAGTAGACGATTTAATGCTCATGCAAAAAGTTCCACTTGTAGACAGCCAAACATTTTGCCTATCTAGCAAAAAAAGGCCATATCCACCTCCCACTCAATTGAAATCTGACTGGAAAGGTTATTTGCAAAGAACATTCAAGATACTCCAAATGTGGACTATGCCAAGTCCTAAGCACCAAAAATCCTGAAATGAGAATATCTGTAGAGTCTGCCCCTGCCACAGAGAAAGGGACCATTTGGGCTCACTTCTTTTCAGACAACTGACCATTGAAAACCAATTCTCATTCTGTACTCATTTTGATGTTGTCAGTGAAGGATGACAAAACTGTAGGTTGTACTCCCTGTCTATGGCTTGTATGAAGTAGAAGAATAACGCTGCAGGGACTATCTTGTGGGACCGATTGCCTGCCTTATTGCCACCTAAGCTGTTCAGCTCTCACTTAACCTTCCTTCACTACTGTATTTACACAAAATGTGGAGTGGTGATTATCATAATAAACACAAATCATAAATATAAAGTTTTTATAATACCGTTAGCTATCGATAACCAGTGAGCTGTCAATATACCAGTAAGCCATATATATAATCTTTTCATCATTTTTCTGCACCAAATAAATAGGATAAGCTATCCCATTATATAAAAAAAATTGAGCACTAATGTTCATTATTGAAAAGCTTTGTAAAAAAAAAAAACCACTTTTCATTTCCATCAGAGAGAGTGGACGGATGACAAACACTCCCTGTCGGCCTATTCAAGAACCCTCTATCATAAATGTACATTACCAAACATTGGGCAGAGTGCATCAATACCGATAATCAATGTTGAACTGTATAGCAATAGTAACACGGTAATTAGATATGGTGCGGCTCACATCAAATGAATTCCAATTTTACAAAATTCTGGGTGGAGGGGAATGAACCTGACCCAGTCAGGAGCTCCTGCACACTGGCTCTTTGGCCATTACTAGTAAGTTGTAACAGAGTGCATTCCCTTGGCAAGATGAATTAGTCTTGCCTAAATTAATCTTGCATGGCTGGAATAAACCTTCTTTTATTTACTTTTGGATATTAGCTGCCATAATTTCTTGGTATAATTAGTTTATATTAGTTCTACTTGTAATTATTTTTCTCATCATCAAAAATTTGTGATACAAATTTGTGCCAATATCTGTCTTATTGCCCAAATTGTAAAATGCAGTTTTTCCAGTATACATCACCTATCAAATTTTAAGCTAAAAGTCACTCTCTTTATGCAGAAAAACCTAAGTTTGACTTAGATTGCAGTACACCTATTTAGTTTAGCTATTATTTAACGAGTCGAGTTTGTTGTTGTGAATAAAGTTTCCGATATTGTTTTGGACGATAATGTCAACGTGTTATGCTGCCGATGCGACACACTTGTATAATTAATGTACAGCAAATTTTGTATAAACTTTTCCAATTTTAAATGTATAACCATTTATGAATAAAGCTTATAAGTTGATTTGATTATCATTTATATTTTGATTAATTATTACATCTACACTCATCAAAGTTCAGCTCTTCTATAACTTGATCTTATTCTCATTTCTAATTACTTAATTTAATTATCAAAAGAAGGTACCAAGCCAGGAAATTCTCATTTGTAATTGAGCTTCTCTCTCAAGGGGTCTTGTCATTGATGGGGCCTCTTACTCTCTCTGAACTCCAGGTGTTATGTTACACCCTGCAAGGTCAAAGAGCAATTAATTCTCTTAGCATCGAGTCCATATGCTCTTTCTTACTTTCAGGAATTATGATACATGTCAATATAGGTGGTATATCTAATATGTATTTGATACAGTCACCATCTGAAACTGCATAGGACTGTCCACAGTTTAAGCACTTTGGCTTATCAGGATTCTACAGCCTTAGATATGACACTAAGATGCATAGCATCTTTATACTATGCATCTGCACTGCTAGTAGACCATGTGCCCCGAGTCTTTGGCATATGAAGAAGTAACTGGCCCTGGGGATGCAGGCTTTTACCGATCTTTCAAATGTCATTCGTACTTCATCAGGAAAACTGGCCAATTTAAATGTTAGGAGGTGCCAGGGTGTAGGAAACACTTACATTATGCTGGTTTATAAATCGGTAAACATCAGTAACTCCTGATAGAAAAGTAATAATGAAGTTCTTCTTTGGTATACCTGTCTGTCTTTGACGATATGAAATTTTTGGATGGGAAGCACAAAAGCTTTGGCACCTGGCAACCATTATAAGGAATTCTAATCGCCTTATTTTGCTCACAATATCATTAAATGTTGAAGGTACAGTAGTTATTAAAAGGGTTTAATGATTGCAATATACTGTATATACAAAACTGGTTATGCCTGAGGTGAAATATTTTAACAATGCACATTCACAATTGTGGAAAGTTTGAACTGACCTCGTCTGGGTTAATAGTGCCTTTAATTTTAACATACCATGACATTCATTATAATCTTCATTACTTGTGGCTTGAATATTAACTAAGCTTATGAAGGCGATGAGTCACAATAACGTGGCTGAAGTATGTTGACCAGACCACACACTAGAAGTTGAAGGGACGACGACGTTTCGGTCCGTCCTGGACCATTCTTAAGTCGATTGTGATGAGGTAGGGACAGGCAATAAATAGGCAAGAGAGAGCTGAGGAGGAAAGTAAGGTGTAGGGGATAGTAGTAATAATGAGAACTGCAGAAAGCCTATTGGCCCATACGAGGCAGCTCCTATTATAACCACCGAAGGAGATAGTAATAGGAATAAGAAGAGGATAGCAAGGGAGCGTAGGAGAAGACAATGAACAGAAAAAGGGAGGAGAGAGAAAGAAAAGGAAAGAGAAAGAAAGATAAATGGAAGGGGTAAGCTTATGTTAAGTCACGTTTGTTAGAAAGATTAGAGCATTTGAGTATATACTGTGAAAGGGAAGAGTCCACAGCAACAAAGCCAGGACTCAAGTTCATGTTGGGTACATTGTGTATAAGAGCCGATTCTACAAGACGGCGTCTGTGTAGAGTAGAGGCAGGAAAGATTATTTCTAATGCTGCTGGTGTCTACTCTATTTCCTGTTCATCTTGTCCTCTCCAATACTTTGGCGAAACTGGCCGTACACTGAATGACAGACTTAAAGAACACAAGAGAAGTGTTAAGTCTGCAGACACTAACAATGCTCTCTTCTGCCACGTGAGGGATTCTAATCATCCCATTGATTGGTCTTCCTCCAAAATAATCTTTCCTGCCTCTACTCTACACAGACGCCGTCTTGTAGAATCGGCTCTTATACACAATGTACCCAACATGAACTTGAGTCAACTTGAGTATCTGGTCAACAAAATAAGCTTATGAAGGACATGTTATAAAACATTTACTGCATTTTTGGGGGAGTCCAAGATCATGATCAAGAAGAAATGACGGTCGGATAATCTAATGAAGACGAGTGTCAAGCTCAGAATAGAAGCTCAACCCTGCTGGTTGTGTTCCAACGTGTTTCTAGATTGTTGTTATTAATAACTATTACCTGTAGCACAGTAGCTTGTGTTCAAGGCTCACAACTGAGGGACACTGGCACAATTTCCAGACGGGACAGACATGGTTGGGTACGTTTCCTTTCACCTGATGCCTATATTCACCTAGTTGTGCTTGCAGGGAAGGGGGGGGGAATTCTGGCTCTTTCGACCTTCCTCTCAACTGTCAATCACTAAAGTTGAGCCCCCACCCCCCCACACACACCCCCAGGACAGCTGTCTAAATCCCAGGTACCTATTTACTGCTAGGTGAACAGGAGCATCAGGGCAAAAGAAATTGCCCATTTGTTTCCGCTATTGCCAGGAATCGATCCCCAGACGACAGGATTACGTGGCCAGCGCACTGTCCACTCAGCCACCGTCGCCCCGGTGTGTTTGTGTGTGTTTGCAGGGTTGTGTGCTCTGTATCAGGACATGAGTATATAGGAAGAGTTGTGCAACAACAGTGTAGAGGAGCGTTGTGTCAAGACATGAGAGACGGGTTAGTGCAAGGGTGGAGAACCAGCAGCCTCTGGGCCTTTGAGGTCCTGTGCAGTCTTTTCAAATAAGTCCAAATTATGCATAAAAACACTTTCTTAAAAACACATTTTTATATCTCTTGAATATTCCCATTTTCACTCGTATTACTAATTGTAAAAATAAAGCAAAAATTCCTTCACATAATAAATACCTACTTTTATTTAATTTTCACATTAAGATACGGCACATGTGGTACAGAAATTTTTTCCACTATTAGGATTTATACAAAACCAATGAATGTATTCCTCCATTAAACTCAGGCCTATACAAACTCATTAATATATAAGTCAGTTATAGACTCATTTATCGAAAGATACAGTGATAGGTTCATTGATTTTGAGAAACATTATCTCACACTGATATTAGCTTTCCAACCTCATCTAGTTAATGATTCCAAAACACCAGAAATGCTGCAGGTGGAGTTAATTGAGCGCTCAAGGGAGCCGGTCGGCCGAGCAGACAGCACACTGGACTTGTGATCCTGTGGTCCCGGGTTCGATCCCGGGCGCTGGCGAGAAACAATGGGCAGAGTTTCTTTCACCCTATGCCCCTGTTACCTAGCAGTAAAATAGGTACCTGGGTGTTAGTCAGCTGTCATGGGCTGCTTCCTGGGGGTGGAGGCCTGGTCGAGGACCGGGCCGCGGGGACACTAAAAAGCCCCGAAATCGTCTCAAGATAACCTCCGAAGATAATAACAGTACGTTGAATACTGTTTATATCAAGAAGGATCCCATTTAAATATGAAGAAATAAAGTAGAATATCCTCACCTCTAGTAACATGCACAACGAATCCTATCTTATTTCTCCACAACTTATCATTGTGAATCCACATTCTCATGTGGATTTACATGAGAATGTGGATTCTCAAATTAAAGACTCCCTTAAGGTCCCAAATGACTGTTATACACCTAAAGAACCAGCTTAAGCTATGTACCTCCATGTTGGCACCACATCCCAATGCTTTCTTACAAAAAACAATCTTAAAAACTTATTAAAAGGGTAGTAAAGTTCTTAATTTGTTAAAATTACCTTCCTTGTTTTTAAGTTCAAACATCAATTACATTTTTCAAAAAAGATTGGCATTTTGCAGTACAGTATATCAAATATAAATTTCTTGAATGCAGCTTTACTGGAAAGCAGTTAATTTCAATGTGGCATTCAAACATAAGAAGGTTCCCAACCTGTGGGTTAGTGAATATGGGGAGCATTGTGATGCTGTATAGTTCCCACATTCCCCAGTTACAACCCTTAACTATTAGTGCTTACCTACCAGTGACTGAGGGGGAGTGAGAGTTAGCTCTTTATGATGCAACTCCTACTTGTTTATACCTGACATGCTAATTACCTCTCTCTCAACATTAATATTTTCATAACTTTTTCTTAAAAGTTGGGGATGGAATCAGTTTCAACAACCTCTTCCTCCAATACATTCCACTTAAAGATCACCAGTACAGGGAATGAGAGTTTCCTTATGTGTCCAACTCAAATGTGTGTCCAGCTTATGTCCCTTTGTCCTACCTCTTCAAATTAAATGGACTTCCTTTGTCCATTATTTATCCCACTCAAAATCTTGGACACAGTTACCATATCTCCTCTCTTCTCTCCACCAAGGTTGTAAGGCGAGTTTTCTCAACCCGTCCTCACAGCCGAGGCCTCTCACTTCTGGTACTATTTAGTTGGAAACCTCTGAACTTTCTTACATTTGTTTATGCTTCACAAGGTGTGGGTTCTATCCTGGTGCTGCATAGTCAAGTAATGCTTTCACGTAGGTAGTGAGTAGAGACTTGAATGCATCCTTGTTTAGAATTTTAAATGGCTGTTTGCTAATTTTCCCCATGTGCTGCTGCTGCTGTTATCCTGTTCACATGAGCTTCTGGTGTTAATCTTGGGATTATGTCTACTCCCAGGTCAATTTCTCTTGTTTCTTATAATTGCCTTCCCAATATTGTGTAGGTAAATACATGTTCCCCATCTTCCTTACCCATATTCATTCATTAACACTTATCTAAATTGAATTCCAGCAGTCATTTATCTATCTACTCCTCAGTTTGCCAAGTTCTTCTTGCAGCATCCAACAGTCCCTTTCAATTCTTACTCTCCTCATTAACTTGGCATTGTGGTGGAATATTGTTGCACACTAACAGCCCCATTCAAAGCCGGAGAAATTGCTAACCTGGAAGGCATGCAAAGATCCTTTACTGCTAGAATCCACTCTTAAGACATTTAAATTATTGGGACCGATTAGACGTTCTAAATTTGCATTCTCTAGAGTACAGACGAGAGATACATAATAACACCTGGGAAGTATTAGAGGGACTGGTTCCGAATCTGCACACGGACATATCACATGAAACCAGTAGGCCTGACACGATGTGCAAAATAGCCCTATTAAAATGCAAAGGTGCAATAGGTCAAGAACATCAAAGGGCCAAGGAATTCTTCAACGCTCACCCCACACATAAGGGGCATAACTGGTCAGCCTCTCACTATGTTCGAGAGAGAACTCAATAAGCACCTTCAAAGGATACCTGATCAACCAGGTTGTTATTCATACATCAGGCTGGGAGCAGTCATGTCCAACAGTCTGGGTTGACCAGACCACCAACCAGGAGGCCTGGTCAGAGACCGGGCAGCAGGGACGTTGATCCCTGGAATCACCACATGGTAGCCACAAAGTAGGTAGGTAGGTATCTGCAAACATCGATAGGTACAAGCTCATTCCTTCTGCGAGGTCATTTACATAAATTAAAAACAGCAATGGTCTCAGGACAGAGCCCTGTGGAACATGACATTCCACTTCTCTCCAGCCTGAAATCCTCTCTGGTTATGACCCTCTGTTTCCTGTCCATCAAGTACTACTGTACCTAGTCTAGTGCCTTTCCATGCGATCCCCCGCCTGTCTCTCCATCTTGTTTATTAGTCTTTCATGAGGAATTATATCGAAAGCTTTTTGGCAGTCCTAGGAAGATGCCGTCTTCCAATCCTACCTTATCTTATACTGGTTACCCTATCATTGAATCCAATTAGTTTTGTTAAGCATGATTTTCCTATCTGAAGCCGTGTTGTAACTCGTATAAAATTCACTCCCTGAATATTCGACAATCCTTTTTCTGATTAGTTTTCCAGAATCTTGTATGAAATGCACGTTAATGACACTGGTCTATAGTTTAGTACTTCATGTCTGTTCCCTTTCTTAAATACTGAAAATACATTTGCCTTTTTCTAGATTTCTGGTAGCTCTCCCATCTTAATAATGTTGAACACTACAGTTAATGGGTAACAAGATCCTTGCAACTTCCTTCATTAACCAAAGTGACATTTGGTCTGGACCTCCTGCTTTTGCTAGGTTCAGTTCCTCAAAGTGTTTTTTTACCTCTTCTATGTTAACTTCAATTCTGTCAAGTGTTTCTGGTCAACATGTCAGCTCTACTTGGACACCAATCTCTGCTCCTTGAATTCCTCCAGTTATGACCCTGCACCTCTTCCCTAATAGTGATGCTGCATGTGTTCCCTGCATTCCCTAGTTGTGACAAATCTAAGCGCAGTGATATCTCTACATTTTCAAGAATTCACACCGCTTAAGTAAAAAAATATTATCGAACACAAAATCCAGAGGCTACAAAAAGCAAAATTTACTCATTAGAGAAAGTATAAAATGTAAGCCGAGCCTACAAATATTAAACTCTTGAAAGGAATAATAAGCACACATGTAGATGACCAAGAGGAGGAAAGGCCCATTAAGAAATTGAGTATACTTACGTGTTTCATTGACAAGGTCACCCAACACAGACACCCAGACTAGGTTGTCACTACTGTTTTGTGCATCGTGCGGGGTTATCCTCAGAACTTGGCTCTGTGAAGGGGTCTCCACACTACTGTACACGGTCGTGAATACACTGCAATCCTACAGAGTATAATATTTCAAATATAAAAACCTTGCACTGTGGAGAGTGTTTACACATTTTAACATTATTTCCCATTTTCTTGTGGCCGGAAGATATCAACTAGAGAATAACAAGGCAAATAGAGTAAAAGTAGGTAACATATTTAATAACATTACAAATATCACTCGACCATTTATTATAACAAAATAATGCATAATAAAAAACAAACTACCATACTGCAGTGGTCATCCTTAACAGCAAGCCAAACTTCACAAAACAAAGGTGCAGTGTTTCTTGTGAATTGTCACGAAAACTATATTCATTCCATTCTTACACATCGCATCCACCCAGCCTTGTCCCTTGTCATATCTCACGTGTTGTTCACACTACGTTAACTCACCTTCTTCCTCACCATCCTTCTCATCAGCATACCTTCACTCACTAATTTATAAAGGTAATGTATTTAGGCCTACAGTGAATATTAACAATAAATACTGTATATCAATGAATGCATCAATGAATGAATGCATCAATGAATATATGTATCAAACTTAAGAAATTACAAGGCCTATTGACCTATACAAGGCAGTTCCTATTTACATCCATGATATAAATACGAGCTGCCTTGTATGGGCCAACAGACCCTATGCAGTTTCCTTAGTTCTTGTGTTCTTACTGATACATGCATTAATCCATACAAATGTATCAATGAATGAATGAAATGAAGTATAGTAGTAGTAGGCAGCCATCAGTCTCAGGAGACTATGGAGTTGTGATTTGGTTGTCGGTCTGGAGTGGCCTCTCCAGGGCACAAAGCCAGGGTACATTGATACAGGGGAGAAGCTGTTACCCATGCAGCAGATTGCCCCTCTCCAAGGTGCCGAAAGTCTTCAATGGAAAGGCAAACGCCAACACGATTGGTTTCAGCACCGTTGCAGGAACTGTCAGAACGAGGTTGAAGGCAACAACGAACTGCCCTAGAGGCTCCAGCTCCGGAGTTTACCTCGAAGTTGGTAAAAGAAGGCATGAGGGACTCCAAACCCGGAGACCGCCGTGGTCATGGCTGGAGAAGAACCACCCCAGCAAGGGCAAGAACGACCCCAGCCTCCTGAAGACCTGCTTGACCCATCAGAAGGAAGAGTAATAATTATTAATTAATTATTTTTATTATTATAATAATTATAATAACTGTTGTAATTAATAATTATTAATTATTATAATAAAATAAATAATTTTTACTCTTCCTTC